GCTTGTCCCGATCCGATACGTGGATCGGATCGGGACAAGCCTATCTGCCACTATACCTTTAAACAAAAAAAAAAAAACTTATCAGGTCTTGATTGTTGTAAACAATCAATACCATTCAATCCAAACATTTTGGCAGTTTGAAAATGATTTTTTTTTCATAAATATATTAAAATCCTTTCAAATAACTGATGCTTTGAAAATGATAGTTTAATGTTTCATCGTCACTCCACCCTGAGATTACAGTTAGATTCATGGTGATGAGGAATACATTAGTTAAATCGTTTTTCCACTATTAATAAAAACAAAACAAAAACAGTTGTCTCAGTTCCAATCCTGCCTGTTGTGGACATATTCTGAGTATGTATGTTTACACATAGCGGCATGTGAAGGCTAGACAGTGTTTTTTGGACAAGGGTTTAGGGAATACCACACAAATAAGAGAAAAATGTATTTGCACACCAACCTTGAGATCACAGGTGGTGTTGAGAAGAAGGTTTGAGGGTTTCAGGTCCCGGTGCAGGACGTTGGCAGAGTGGATGTACTTGAGCCCTCGTAGGATCTGATAGAGAAAGTAGCAGATGTGGTCGTTGCTCAGGTGTTGAGTCTTCAGGAGCTTGTAGAGGTCCGTCTCCATGAGATCCTGGACAATATATCTGCACCAATTAAAGTTAAAGGCTTTCTACACTTTTATGAGCCTGAGGCTGTTTGGGAAGTGTAGTGTTTAGTGAACTAAATGTATAATTAAATCGTGCTGATGCTGAAAATAGTAGCAGAATCCATGTAATTATTTTTCAAGTGGGTACATGCTGGCTATTCGAGTTTGGTTTTGTACTGAGAAATCCAAAATCAGAAAAACAGATTCCTGATTTCCAAATAAAATAAAGAATAGAAAAAAAAACACACAAAAAAAAAAACAATCCCCTTTTTGTTGTGTCCTTTTGAGATCCCAGATCAGAAACCAATAAACCGACTCATTATACGTTTCACAATACCAAAATGATCAAGACAAATCTAGACATCCGTTCCTGATTCAGCTCCCTCCCCAAGAGTCGTGTGTGCGCATCCAAACCACCATGGACAAAATATTTATACATATTCATACAATTGCATCCCTGAACTTCCAATAAACCTCTGTCCTCATCATTGTTATTTCTACCAAAGGCATACATGACAAGGACTCCCCACCAACTTTTAAACAGTACGGCTCTGGATCAGGAAGTAAAGTATGAGCCTCAAGGTAGTCCATCAGATATTTATGGTTTTTTATTTCAATATAATGCATTTGTGTATATGATAAAATGAAATCAACAAACTGCCAATAACTATAAATGCAATAGTTTGTGACAAAAATTGGTGCAAAACCTGTATATGCTGGTGTTACGACGGCTCACTGATCACTACCAAAACGAAACAGAGAGGGGAGGGGGAAGATGAATCAGGAGGAAAAGAAGTTAAAATTTGTTTTCTCATTTTGGAATTAGAAAACAGATAACTGGTTGTTTTTCTTCTTCTTTTTTGTTACTTGTCTGGGATTCAAAACAAAACAATCTGCTCCTTTTTGTTTTTCCTGTTAGGAAATCAGGAAACTCTTAATTTTCTGATCTTTGAAATCTCAATACAAAACCACAATCCAATAGACAGCATGTACATGGACGCTTATTGGTTTAGTTCACAAGATGTAGTCAACAATCCCACAATTTCACTTTGTTTAAAATATAGGAAATGAAAGGCATGAAAAGGAGGAACCTGGTGGTAGTGAGAGCCAACCTTCATGACCAACATGGGTTTTCATGAAACTAACTTCTGCATGGCTGAAGAAACAAACTGCTAGCATCACTTCTGTTTGACAATTTGGAGGAAAGCAGCCAAGAAAGGCAGGTTGATGAACAATTTGGATTATTTAGGTTCTGACATTAGTTTGATCTCTGCATCAGATTCTACCAAATGGTCTGAGTTGGTTCCAGCACAACCAGATGTTTGTCACCAGTCTCACTAGAAATGTTTGGAGACCAAAGATTAAAGAAATTCTAAAACCTTTCCTCTTGCACCCAGTGCCAAGGTTTCCACTAAGATACAGCTCTTTGCTAGGAGTCAGCTGGGGTCAGAAAAGAAAACAAGCTATATTATTCACCACATCGATCAAATGTTAAACTGGATTGAGATCTAGGTGAGGACAATAATGTACAGATAAGTGAAGCTTTTAGTGGTCAGCAAGGGAATCCTACTGTTTGGCAGCTATGCATCCCTATATGTAATAGACTGTGACCAGCTGTGTATTCTTAAACATTTATAATCAGAATTGACAGATTTAGCAATATTAGCTCCTGTACTTCAGATCTACAGTCCCCTGGCTGGACCAGCGGATATCAGATAAGCATCCTATAATGATACTATAACCAAATCCACTGAGGATTTTAATCCAAATTACCCAAAAAGCTCCATCAATGCAGGATCTTCATTTCCTGTTAGCTTTCAAACATCAGCTACAAATAAACAGACCGTTTGCCTTCAAGTCAGATAGACATTGACCAAATAGCTACAAGAAATTACATACATCATACCCGTAGTTTTCTTAATAAATAAGCAAACTGTACCATTTGTAAAAGAAAATTCTTCTGAACATTGCAATTCAACATGCTGTGCAGCATCAACACTGACCAGAGTAGATTGGGAAAACTCTACAAGAGCTTAAGGTTTCAGAGATTTGATAACCCAGCTTACATCTCTATGCTTTGCTTCCCCCCCCCCCATCTGATACACCAATTGTGGCCATAATGTAAGGCATTAAAAGTGTGCAATCAAATACTATTTGTATTATAAACTACTTCTTGCTTTAAGTAGTGCCAGAATCACCCACTACAGCAGTCACTTCTCCAGAAAGTCCATAAAACAGACAAGTTTCAATGTGGAACAGAAAAAGCTGCTTGTTTTCTATTTTTAGGATAAAAAAGAGCAACAACTTTATTCTCCAACCTATATTACATATAGGTTTACTTAACAGCACAGCTGTGGCTTTTAAAATGTTCTCATAAAAGCCAACAAAGCAGCTCCAACAGTCTCCTCTTTCTTTCCAGCCAGTTTTTTTCTGTCGCGGTCAGACGATCCAGTTTTTTTAGGTCTGGGATGCAGGCCACTAAACTGTACAATTAAAGATATTTCTGTTTGTAAGCCAAATTTCACAAACCAAGGGTTTTATCTGTAATGTTAGCTTCATGTCAGCTCAATTTTACATGTTGTTTAACCTTTTTTTGCACTATATTACCATAGCAACTGCTTTTTTTTTTTTTTTTTTTTTTTTAATAAAAAAAGCTTTAAATTAAGAGTGCTAGGCAAGGGTGTAGCATTTTTTTTTTTCAGTTAAACCTTTCAACTAATTGAAGGCAATAATCTAGCAGTCATAATGGACCATTTTGTTTCTCTGCATTGATGCAAAATCGCCCAACGACGGCGACATGGACTCAATTTACTGCTGTTGTGAGACAGTGAAGAGCATCTGAGGCAAATACATGGTGACAGGTGGCCATTATGTAATAAAATACAAATGAACATCCCTACTCAAACAAAAAAAAGGCTTATGTGGGCCTTTCCACTCTCCATGTTACTCTGAGCACCATATACACATTTTAAAAACCTGAGTATACCACCATAATCATTAAACCAAGCACTAGGATACACGTCCTTCATCTGATCGATGGTCGGCGCCCGGATGATGTCATTGATTCCGATGATGTTCTCGTGCTTGAAGCGCAGCAGGATTTTGATTTCTCTCAGGGTGCGCTGGCAGTAGGTCTGGTGCTCGAAGGGGCTGATCTTTTTGATGGCCACGCGGATCTTGTTGTCCCGGTCGTAAGCAGAGCTGGATCAATGAAAAGAAAAGCTTAAGTTTAGAATAAAAAAATAAAAAGTTAAAGAGCAGGTAAAAACAATGTTTGAAAATGTTTCAGGCATGAAGCCGTGAGACATTCCTGCACATTTGGCATATTTCTTTTCATCAAACTAATGTGAGCTGATGTGTTTTGACCATAATAGCCCCTAATGGAACCACAGAACAAAGCCCAATTAAAAAGGAGGGGAAACACAGTCAGAGTTACAGCTTGGTCACATTTAAGACAAAAAAAAAAAAAAAAAAAGAGCTCTATATTAAGATTATGATTGGATGGAAATTTATTACATTGTATGTCTTCATTAGCAATTCCTATAAAAGTATGCAGAGTGAAAAAAACAACACAAAATTCTGTTTTTAGTTATAATTTCTACTCTATGGATATATTTCAATAAACTGTCAATTTGATCATATAGTTATTTTTAGTTTATTTCACCTGAATGAAAATTATAAATTAACTTTGTGATTATTACATCTTAAAAACAAATATACAAATACAATAAGCATAATAATTATCCAATCATGTTTTTTTAATTTTCAGCCAAAAAATCTAAACTTTAAATTAGAAAATAATCAGTAGTAAAAAAAAACAAAAAACATTTTACTCCATTCAGTGTGAAAAACACAGGCCGTTTCCTGTATTATGAAAGTGTTTATTTTAGGGAATTAAAAAAAACAAAAAACTTTTACACCGACATGAGTGACAGATGAGAAGTGAGTTTTATGCAGAGGCAAAAGCAAGTCGCTGAGTTCTGTGATAAATGCCGCTTCCTTCCTGTGGTTTGCTGCTGGGAAGCTTTTAAAGTAAAATCTATAGACAGGAAATGTCAGGTTTCAATTTGGAGCACCTTCGCACAAAAACTAGTGAAGCACTGATGACTAGTTTTTAACCATATTAGACTTAGACAGATTTTGTCATTTTGTGTAGAGGAATGTAAACAAAAGGAAATTTCGTTAAGAACAGCTCGCCAGACAATTTCATTTTTTAAAGTAGAGCCTTGAAAACAGTACAAAATACAAAAAAGCAGTAATATAAACATATGACTGTATATTTACAGTTCTAAAATTTCATTTTTTTAAATCTATTTATTTTTTAAATAATAAAATATAAATATAATAAAATACAATAAAATAGCCTATTTTACAAATAGAAATTGATCAAATGCCTAAATGTATGGTCCTAAATAACCCAATGTAAAAACTATGTAAAACAATATAATACTCAACATAACAGTTAAAAGAGGGTTAGATGGTTAATAAAGGTCAAATGCAAGGAGAGAAAGAAATGGCGCGTTTGTTTCCTTAAAGGCCGTATTGAATTCCAACAATATCCTCTGAACATCTTTGAATGTCTGCTTACTTTGCCCGCTTTTGTTTTTGCTGCAAACTGCAATTTTTTCTCCTCTACAACAGTTAGAGCTTGTGTGTTTTAAGTGCAATAACAAAGTTTTGTCAAACAACATAAAATGGAAAAAAAAAAAGACACCATATATCAAGTAAAATAGGCTCAGCAGTGTTTATATCAGGAAGTAAAAGGGAGACAGATGAAACACCGGTTCAGTTTTGTGGGTTCGATCAATGCTTTGCAGACTGTTTAAACAAAGGTCACACATCAATACCTCAAGTTCATAGGTATATCCAGGTACATCAAAGTTTAGATCATTTAGAAAGACCAGTTTGATAAATAAGTTCATATGTATTTTAGAAATTAATTACACAGCAATACACTTTAAAATCAGTTTTTCCCCAAATAATTAAAAAACATTTACTTTTCGGCCAAAAATGTTCCTTTTGGTTCATCCCTACTAAAAATACAAAGTAGAAATATGTGCCTTTCTACTTTCTACATCCAATGAGAATTGTTTTTATGCAATGCTCTTTTACACATTTATTTAGCATCAATGCAGCCAGTGACTGGTAAGATAGTATTGTACTGAAATTGTAAATCCTTCATAAACCTCAAGGCCACAGTATATAAATGCACGCCCTTTTATTACCATAATTTCTTCCTTCCACTCAACCTCCCAATTATATGCTCGAGTACAGCAGCTTCCTGAACAACCACCTTTACAGGCTCAGTTTATTTTTCATTACAAATGTTCAATGAGCAGTTTACCCATGAATGTGTATGCCATAACATCCCATTGCTGGATTTGAAATCCTCTTTTTCCTAAATGGCAATTTTTTTGAGGAGCTAAATGACATATGGTTTTGCCCTAAATAAGAAAAAGCTGCACAACCGGAACTGATACAAGTTCCTTCAAATAAATTGAAGGACTCTTATTTTCTAATTTATAGTGTTGCAATCCATCTAGATACTTGTATCGTATTAGCAGAATAAATCCATCAAGTATAGCTCTACCCATTACGTTTTTGGTGGGTGAGCATCAAATGATGCAGTCACTTTACCAAAAGAAATTGTGAAAAACTGCTGAACATCAAGGTAACAGATATAGAAGGGTTGCAATATTTATGGTTTCCACGACATCCCAGAGCTTCATCATCTACATCCAGTCGAGCATAGTTTTATTTCTGCACATTACAAGCAATGCTAATGTCTGCAAAAGACACCCACACAACAGGACAAAATAAGAAATGAGTTGCTATAGCGATGGGGGTGTAAGGACAAAAATGTAAACACAAGTGTGCCAGCCTTCTGCAAGGGAAATATGAGTGACCTTCCTTTCTACTCGCTCCAGAGGAATGTGTGTGTGCATGTGTGCGTGGGAGGAAAATAAATAGTTTTCCATGTTACTGTTCTACTCGAGCAGATACCCTCGTGTTCAGGCAGAAACCTGGATCATGCAAGAGCAGGTTTATCACTGAATTATGATTATTTAAAAGTGGTCAGCAGTGTTTTTGCTTTTCACTGTGAAATACAAAAAGGCTGAATTTGGTTCTGCATTATTCAAATTGGGTAAATGTGTGGACCAATATGTCTTGGTTGCAAAAAAAAAAAAAAAAAATTGGGTAATTAGAGTTTCTTTCCTTCTTGCTTATCTTATGACAGATGGGGACTATATAAATTATCGAAAGGGATATTTGATGAACGTCAAATGTTTATTGATCTAATGCATTAAAAAAAAAAAATTAATAAAAAAAACTTCATCCAAAAGGGAAAAATTACGAAGTGGGCAAGGTAACGTTTAAAGACGTGTAAGGAATTCAAGCCATACAATTTGGCCATAAGACCGTAAATGTTGTGCTGCAAGCAGGATTGTTATGAGATCTGAATTTTCTTTCTCACACCAAATCCATCTTGAAAGACCCATGCCAATACATCCATCTTGGAACCATCATCAGGTCGGACCAATGACATGCAAGCAGTGTTTTTTGGGGTGGGACATGTAAGAATGATGAGTCAGAAGGGCCTTGCTGGGGCATAACAAACATGGCTATGCTGGAGGACTCGCCTGTTGATATCGCAATTGACTCAATTTTAGGAAATATAGAAAAAAATTTTCATTTTAAAAAGGAGGCAAAGTGAAGCACTTCCATTTGTAGATGGGAAAGATGTCTGTGCTTTTCTTCCGACAGGAGTTTATCAGCTTACGAGAAGTCAAAATTCGCTGCAATCTGGCTGCTGCCAGGTTACATTAATGAAACATCTAATATTTAAAAAAAAAAATGTAAATCATAACTTTTCTTAAATTTGTATTCAACTGCTGATCAACAAATACAGAAAATCGCCAAACTCTTAATGTGTTATTAGATGGATCTGAATGAAAACCCAAAATGTTTGTGATTCAACAATAAAAGTTTTTGGGTGTACTTTATTGCTATGCTAAACTATGATACTTTATCCCTTCATTTTAAAAATCAAAATAGGAATTGTTGTTGGTATTAATCCATCTAGAGGTTTTACATCACAGTGTCTACAGTTTCCAAGTCCTTTTAATAAGATCCAAGAGAAAGAACTGCAATGATTAGAATAACAGTAATGTAATCCTGTGCCTCCCCCAACTGTTGCCGTCAGAAGATGGTCCACAATGAGAGAATCATTAGAGCCGACCTTCTCTCCATCCAGAACTACCGGACTAGGATTAGGAAAAGGGGTAACCAACATCTGTGTGGACCCTAATCATCATGGACACAACCGTTAACTAGACGGGTACTGAATATACTTTACCTGCAGGAACATTTATCCTTTTTTACTTAAAAAGTTGAGAACAAGGAAGCAGATTTTCAAACAGGTATTCAAACTTAAAAAAATAAAAATCTGTCCGCGTTATTAGAGCTATGCAATATCGAAAAATTTATCAAAAACCTTTCATAATGATGATTATTGGTTTTTACTTTACCAATTCCAAAAAAGGACCAGAAGGAAAATCAGCTCAAATTTAAATTGTATCCCTAACCCTATTCATTTATAAATAACTTAACCTTTATGAATAAGTCAGCTCTACGTCCACCTTTGTACAGTTTGTCTGAGAAGCTCAGAGGCCAAATCCTTTACTCAGACTACATCCCCCAGAATGCCATGTGGTTCAGTTGAATTATTGAACATTTTATCAGACATATTTACTATTGATGTTGATCAGGTGTCTATTGCAATAGCTATTGATTTACAGCTCAGACCTAGTTAAGAAAAACTAGCATGAACCACAATAACTTAACATTCATGCATGGAAGTTACTTAATGACTGTTCATAAAATTAGCCCTGATTAAACTAGGAAGATTTGATAAAGTTAAGAAATTAAACTACTCTGGTTTTTTAAGACATATGACAGTTACAGAGTTTAAATTACATTCAGTTAGTCCAGCAGTAAACAGAAGGAACTTCTTGAGGAAGTACAAAGTACAAAGAGTGTAGTGCATTTTATGATGCCATCTGTTCATTGGAAGGGTTCTCAATTGCTCCACTTTATCAGCAATATCGCTGTAGAAGTCAGACAACTTTTGTACTTGAGGCTACAGTTAGTATCTGTGGATTTAAAATTCCCCTGATAACGATGGGGAGTGTCCTGCAAGC